TCCGCGGTAGAAGTAGTAGACTATGTTGTTTCAGTGGACGTAGTGGTCACCGTTGAGGTTGTTGTCGTGGTGGTAGTGGTGGCGTTCTGAAGACACTTGTCTTTATGACAGAAGTATCCACTGGAAGAAAAGTTAGATACGCATTCTGAAAACATGACCAGACTTAGTGCTTTTGACAAGCGACTGAGAGATTAAAAGGCTTGAACTTGATCTTCATCAAGTGTAGGTCTAAAGTAAAACGCGACTTTTGTCGTGCTTATCTTTAGATTAATTACAGAAATTTTTTTCTCTAATTGTCTATTATTTTTCTCTAACAGCCAGTAAAGGATCTGTTTTGTAATGTTTAGCAGAGCATAATGGTTTCTTACCTCCCGTTGACGGATAACATTTGTCTTCCGGGTCATAGCAGACCTGACCTGAAGGGCACATTCTGAAAACGCAGTCTGAAATATCAAGTAATTACGACATGAAGTTATTAATGTAAATGAGAATTTACAAAGATTTCTTTAGGATATAAAGTGTTGTATGGGGCCTGCTGCGTGTCTTGTACGCAGATTTGAAGCAAGATTAGGTTTTAGAGAAAAGGCGGTATGAAAACTAGTATAGAAACGGTTGTTAAATCGCAATTTTTGTCTGCATTCAGAAACTAAGAAAATTTTCGGGGTTTAAATGTTTTTTGGATGTAGTTGTTAGAGGTGTAAAGCAGTAGGACCCTTCAGATTGAGATGGTGAAAATTTTGAAATTAATGTTAAGAGCAGAGCGGTATACATAATTATCAGATGGGCGAGTAAATAGCAGTAATTTGTTAGTTTCTGAAATATAGACTTTAGTATATATATACCGATTAGTTTAGCTTATTCAGGCGTCTGGGTTTGCCAAAGTACAGACCTAATTTACATATTAAGTTGTCTGGATGTACTCGTCAGAGGTGGATTTTAAATGTATGCTATACCAGGCACTTCCTGAGTGGTGCAGTGGTTTTGTAACCCTGTGTAGTTTGCTGATGTCTTAGCCGCTTCTTCCCTCTGTAAGGTTGAAAGTGCTGAGATTTGAGGTTTGGTAGTTTGATATAAGAGGAAGAAGACCTTTTAAAATGTTAAAGTAACATTTTTTTGAGCACGGGCTAATCGTTGCTTTGCTGTTTTCTAGTTTATCATTTTCTGCGCTTTTGGGTGGATATTTGATGTTTATTTATGGTTGTGCTGCAGTTTTTATAATTCCGACCTTTTTGTATGCGGTGACTTCGTTGTGTTTATAAGGTCGTAATTAGCGCTGCATTTGATTTGTGACAAGAGTAAGAAATGGGCAGAATTTCCAACTTTGATTTCCTCTAACTCAAACAATCAATGCCTGTTTCTAGAATTTGTGTGCAAAAAGAGATTTTTTCACGGCATGGTTAGAAATTGATAAATATTAAGGAGAAGCTTGTCGTATTGTTTTGAAGAAATATTGTTTTCCAACGAAATTGCTTCAAAATTTCACTTTTTTCTCTTTGTGATGTTGAAAAACTTGTTAATTCATCATTGTACTTGGCGTAAATCGTTAAACCTAACATAACAAATCCTGCCTTTAAGGATGTTCTAGAGAAAATGAAAAGGAATGTTTAATGGAAATTCTAAAAGTGGAAGAAAAGGTGCAAAGTGTTAGTAAAGATTTGTTCTTGTACCTAACTATTAATAGTGTACTTTTGATGTTAAATGCAGAAAAGGAAGTTTTGGTAATGTCAGTGGGGTATGAGGTCAACGCTTTATTTGCTATTCGCACTGAAATTATTGGTGAAATCACGTCGTTTCGGGTGTCGCAAGGACAAAAGATAAAGCAAGATGGTGAGTTGCTAAACATCTGGTTAAGGGTTAGCTTTGAAGTTACAATAAAAATTTTTGAGTCGATGGAACATCAAGAAACGTGTCAGCTGAAGGAGAAAATTCAGTTTCTTTAAGTAGGCGGTTTGAAAACATTACACTCGGTTCTGCAACGGTAGTTCGTTTGTCAGATACGCTGATTGTTAGAAATGTTTAGCAATTTCCACATTTAGCTGTAGTAAAAGTCTCAACTTTTAGTTCTGTCTTACGCGGTAGGCTCTGAATATTTCTACAAATTCTTCAGGCAGTTTTTCATTACTGTTTTTTTTTGGAAAAAAATCTCTCTTGTTTATTAAAACTTCAAAGCTTTAAAAATGGTTCTATATTCATTAGGGATCCTGCGCTTGCGTGTGTGCCTTTTGTTCAACAAAGGCAGAAGTATTCACTTTGACTTTAAGATAAAAAAGTTGAAATTTATAGTGTTTCTTCTAGCTGCTTAATGAAAACGAGTCATTATTTTCATTTTGAACTTTTTTTAACCGAAGCTGAAAAAGAATAGTAGAGATAGGGGGAAATTATAATGTGCTTGAATTAATTTTAAAAAAATTCAATTTTAGACAACATTTTTCTTTTACCTGATTTTATTTCTTCCTTTCTAGCTTATTTTTCTTTCTTTCTTCAGTTTAAATGCAGTTGCTGAGCTTCCGAATGCCAAGAACCGGCACTATGTAAACCAATAAAAGCAAGAGAAGAATGGGACGGGTTAGGTGATGGTGAAGTAACCATTTAGGTAATAAACTACATCATGAAAAAGCCTTATTCAAGGAAAGACAATTTCTAAGCGGTTATAAAGGCTGAATGTGCACGTCAGAAGTACACTGGCATTTTCACAAAGGAAAGATAAGGAGAAAACTCGATTGCAGCTAACGTCTCAAGTGATGTCGAACAACGTCAACCGCGCTTGAATTCTAATGAGTGGCAAGCAACTGCCGTTTTCTAACAGTTTTTTCTGGGCGTGCCAATTTTGAACAACTTGTGTTTATTTTCTTTACTTTAAACCTATCGTTCTTTACAGGTTATTATTTGGCATCTTTTTTTAACAAAAGAAGACCCGTTCTTTTTCATCTCGCTCTGCTGTTTATTTTTAGACATTACTTGTGATTACTTAAATACTCGTGTACTTATAAAGTCCTCGCTGCAAAAGCAGGAAATACTTTGATTAGTATTAATAACTGGCGGGCTGTTCACAAAAAAACAATGGAGCTGTTAGTTGCAGTTCTTACTGAGGCCGCAGCTCGCGCTGCTGTTTTATTCTTTACCGGATGCTGCAAAATTTAAAATTATGGTAACACGTTACATCAGTTTCTTACAGTTCTGTGGTCCCTCTCCAAACTGTCAATTCTTTTGCCAAAATTCTGTTAGAAAGTCTTTGTTTATGTGTTTTTCTGCTTTTATAACTGTTATGCATCAAATACTGAATAACTGTTGTCTGTCACTAAAGTACCAAATAGGCTAATACTTTGTTGAAATTTAAAGTTATGACGAATCAGCATCTTTTGAATGATATATAGTTTCTTTCGCGAGAATGTGCAGGGCTAAAATTTCTTATAACTTTTACAAAAAATGCCTCAGCAACAAATCGTTGTTTGGTTTCTATTTTTAGCCTTACAAATTCCAAACATCGTTTACCAGCAAGTAAAGGTTAGAAGAAATTTGTAACATCCAGCAGCAAAATTGTAAAGTGTGAGATGAAATGACCGTATTATGTCCTCGATGACGCTAAGACCCATTAGGTGTAATTTCAAGAGATTTGGTACGCTTTCTTACAGTTTTAACCATTTGATTATCAGTGGTAGATTACTGTTCGCACGCAGCGACCGCAAAAATGGTTTGGTGTAATGAAGGTCTGTTCTTTTTTATCTTCAGCTTTGCACGGCAAGGAGATTCAAGAAAGAAAACTTTAGAAGCGTCAATTGCGAAAGAACCAGCGTAACGTAGAGAATCGTATAAGAGGATCACCATGGTGTGCAGTATTTAAAATATGAATTCGTATGCAGAAGCTTCTAGCGCTACAGTAGTGTGAACAAAATTTCTAAGTCTAAAAAAGAGATTGTATTCAAAAAATAACAGGTTTTCAAGCTGATACGCTGATGCTATAAAGCTCTTTACTAAAATGAGGTTCAGAATTACAAAGTGCTGCTATTAAAGACGAGGACGGTATTATTTGTTTAAACAAAGTTATTCTGCTTTTTGACTACTATTTTCATTTTGATAATATTAATTTTTTACTTTCTTGCCTATTATCATACAAAAAGTAAGAACTTGAAGAGAAAAGATTCAAAAAGAAGAGAAAATTAGGAAGGAAAGAAGAGTAGAAAAAAATTTTTTTTTGTGAGGAGACATTCTTACTTTTTGTGCCATTGTGACCTTGCGGAAATCAGTTCAATGCTCTAAATAAGTACTCAAAATTGATTTTATTTAAAAATCATAAAGCAAGCAAAAATAAAATGTCATATTGGGTTTTTTATTTGGTTAGTCAGCACTTATCCTTCACAAAAAATCTTTTAAATTTTCATAAGTTTTTTTGGTAAAAGGTAACTGAGGATTCTACTTTTTACGACAAGTGAAGTGAAAAATGAAATTTGATAATTAATTTGCTATAATGGAGCACTACAGGCCTTAATCATACAAGAGTAAACTAGGGGCTAAGAAGATGAGATTAGTTGATGAGAAGTAATATATGTTGTTCCTACAAGGATTCAGAGCTTTTTATCCGTTAATAACATTTCCGTTTTTTCTGCTGATTTACAGAACATTAAGTCTTCTTGTAGTTAAAATGGATGTTTTTGTTGACCGTTTTGATAAGCGATAAATATGTTGGTTATTAAGTAGTATTCTAATTTTCATTTATGTGCAATTTATCGACGATGTCATTCTACAGAGCACAGTGTCGAGCAATAAAAAATTTTTTCTTCTCAGTCGACTAGGGGACCGCAGTAGCTTTCGCACTATTGCAAATTTCTCGTAAACACTCCATTTCCTTACAGCAATTTTAGAGTCAAAAAATACATGGAATTTTTTAAAAAGTCAGGTAAAAAGTCAATCAGATTTAAGCGAAATGAACTGTAAATGCATCATAGTCTGTTGTTTGGAAGCTCCACGTTTTTTATTCGTTCGTGCTTGGAAAAAGTTTTTGCAGTATAGCTGTTTCGGTACTTGTTGCTGCTGAAACTCGCATCGTCTAAAAATGGGTAAATCTTTATCACCAGAAGTACCGCAGTATCCATATTATGCCGGTTGGATACCCAGGGAATATGCTGAAAGACTGATAACGGCAAACGGCGAATTTTTAGTTCGAAATACTCAAAGAGAAAAAGGTGGAACAGATTTAGTACTTTCTGCGAAATTTGAGGACCAGTTTTGGCACTATATTATTTTTTATGATGGAAGCAAGTATTATTTCAAGGTACTTTTTTATTTTATTTTGTTTTTGACTTTTCCTAATTTGCCGTGTTTTAAGAAAAAACGATTTCAAATTTTAAGCTGCAAGAGATTAAAGGTCAGCTTTTCTTTTATTTATACGATAATAATTAAAAAAGCAACATTTCTGATTTTATTATAATTTTGCATCCTGCTTTGCTAATTTAGTCACAAGTGATGACAAAATCATCAGTTCATGAATTGATTGAGCACTATGTATTTTCACAACAACCCGTCGGCAAACAGGGCGTCGTATTGAAAAAGCCTTTTGTACGACCAAAAAACTTTTACGAAGACGAGCAAGTGGAGGTATAGTAATTTGGAATCTCCTGTATTCTACTATGTTATGAAAAACAAAAAACATTTCTCAGATCTCAAGACCAACTGTAGCTTCGTTGATTTCAGATGAAAAAAAAAATAGGGGCAGGAAGTTTTGGCGAAGTATACTACGGGATATTTCACGCTGATACGGTTACTGAGTGTGCGGTAAAAAGTATTAAATCGGGTTCTGAGAATGTCGAAAGTATTAAAAGAGAACGAACAAAATTTGTTAGAGTAAGATAACTTACAAAATTTTCTTTTTACACTTTGACCAACAGTATTAATTCAAAATTACTGTTTATACGGAATGGATTAAACATTGCAAAATAAGAAAAGTTGAAGTTGTCGGGTATCTTGTAATATATCACCAATTTTTCTTCAAAAAAAAAGTAGTGTGAGAAATCAATTTAGGAGGCATTCACAATGTTAAAGTTATGCCATCCAAACATACTCGCTGCATATGGACTTTTGTTTGACAAAGACCCGGTTAAATTGGTCATGGAATACGCACCAGACGGTTCTCTAGAGTCAGTTTTCAGACGTGTTATTACTTACAAAAGACATAAGAGTGTTTTCGATTAGGTCAGCAATTTTCTAAACAACATCGAGAATATTCCGTAAAGAAAAAAATTATGATTTATGAGTGTATTCTTGTTGTTAGCAAGTACTTGAAAAACGCGACTACTGAAGAAGCTCCAGTAAGCGTTCTTGAACGATTCGGCGCCGATGCTGCTAAAGGCTTAGAATATCTCGCTACTATGAAGGTCTAGAGTTTTCACTTTATTCTAAAAATTTTTTGGTATAGAAGAAGCATTTATTACGCGGCTTCAACTAATTGACTGTTTCATGCTCTGTCACTAAACTGAGAAGTTTGGAAATTTACTGAAGTCGTTTTATCAAAGAACGACTGCAAAAAAAAGATATTTCTTAGCTTCTCCAGTTTAGGTTATTCATGCAGATATTGCTGCTAGAAACTGCCTTGTTGGTATAGACAAAGTGCTAAAGATTACAGACTTTGGTCTTTCGCATACTGGTTACAGAACAGTCAGATTAAAGGAAATGAATTATGCTCCGGTGAAATGGATGGCTCCAGAAGCGATTAATAAGGTAAAGTTTAGCCCTGGCGCTCGCAAAACAGGTTAAGAAACACTTGGAAAAATTTGTCTATCAATAAAGCTTATCTGGAAGGGTATTTATTGACAGTAATAGTCTTTAACTGCTCACAGTAATTTTTTAATTGACACTCTGTGGAGTTTCTTGTAAACCAATGACTTTCTCATCTTGGCTCATCGAGAAAGTCGCAACCAGTTAGAAGTTTATGTAGCCAGTAAAGCGTAGGAATTGCCTGATTCATAACAGCGTCACTGCTAAAGATACTAAACTAGTTCTCTGCTTTAAAATTCTCTATAGTAGTTTACTGACCAGCTGCATATAAGTTGGAAAGTTAAGGTCTGCTTCTGGATGAGTGCCAACATAGGAGATGAAATAAACCTGATTTTTTGCTCATTTATTGGGTCTCTAAGGTAAAATTGGTTTTGTTTCAGTTCATAAGAGAGATAAAAGGCCAGTAAAAGTTTAGTAGGTTTTTTTGCAAAGAAAAAAAGCGAAGATGAATTAGAAAAAGAGAGAATGAGGAAAAAGAAATAAATTTGCAAAACTCAAGAAACCGTACTCTTCTGTGTCTCTAATCAATACACTTTTTTACAATACAGCATAAAGCAAAAAAATTTGTGGTCTGAATAAGTGAAATAAAATATTTTTAATACAGAAAGAGCGTTTGAGAGAAAGACACTGGCTTATTTTTTGGGACATAACTGAAGCAAGAATTTCAGCGGAAGATTGCAGTATATTATTGCACCCCCCTATTGTTTTACTGAAACTGCACTATTTAGGTTTTTGCAAATTAGCATTTTTCACAAAGATATACCAAAAAACAAAATTTTTTTAGTTTGAATTGTCAAGTAAAACTGATGTTTGGGCATACGGAGTGCTTTTATGGGAGATCTTCTCGCGATGCAAAACGGAGCCTTACCCACAGATGACTGTACAACAGATAACAAAACATGTACGATTTTTGTAATAACTGCGTAAAAAATTAGGCAATTTTACAAAAGAGCATCGAAAGAACTACTAGCAAAAAAATGAAAATTCAAATATCAGAGTTTCTAACAAAGTTTGTTTTAGATTAATAAGGTAAAACCTCCATTGAATTTGCCAGAAGAAATGCCGGAACTCTACAAGAAGGTTACGATGCAATGTTTTGAAACGGTACTATTGAATACGTACTTACAGTAATTCCAAAGCCTTCACTTTACATGCATTATTCTTCAAAGAAAACTAGTTGTTGAATTGTTGCTTTACGGGCCTTCAGTAGCGCAATTTTTTTTTAGGATCCGTCAAAAAGAATTTCCGCAGAAAAAATTGTTAAACTCTGCGAAAAAGCTGCAGTTGAGAAGGAGTTACAATTTTAGACGCTTTCATCCTTAGACGAGGGCCTGCTTAAGAAGTATTATCTTATTTTTATTACCAATTTACCTTACTGATATAAGACTTTGAAGGCATAAAAAGCTGAATAGAAAGCAAAAATTATAGCTGAATTCATCCTCAACCAATGTTTCCTTAAAACATCTTTTAATGATTCAAAAAACATTTTTATAATTGTTCATAAATTTAAGAATAGATGTCTGTCATAGCTCAATATAAGAGAAACATTTTGTTTTGCGATTAGTCATTCACTTAAACGAATGCTATCAATTACTGCAGGAAGTTATATGTCGACGTATTGCTCCAACTTCAACCGCTCTTTCAAGCATTGTTATATACGTAAAAGTAATTGTGACCTATCTGCACATTAATGACAATGACAGCTGACTTATCTAGGAAAAATTGTGAAAACCAAAAACGATAAGCTATCAGATTTAGTCGAAAATCTTGGCAAGCTCTACTGATGTAATTAACATTTTTATACGAAGCTATAAAAATATTATGAAGTCGAGTATGTCGTCAGTATAAGTGTAAATCGACAGTCGCTGTGAATATAAATTGAACCTTCTCATTTGGCTGTTTCAATCATCTTTTAGAAGCTACAACCTTTGACCAGATTCGGTGTACCGTAAAACTGCAGAGGATGGCGTTAAAGTAACATTGAGGCAACTTCCCAAAAGTCCATCTGTTACGTTCACAAAAGATTATTGCTTTGAAAAAAAAAAGCTCTCCTTTTCCTATTCATTCTTTCTGGCAGTCAGAGTTCTCCAGCGGAAAGTCGGTTAGTCTCTATTGGACTCTTCATCATTGTAAAAAACCAGCAGGTTGAAAAAGCATTCCAGAAAATTTTTTTTCTTTCCAAAGTTTATAAGCAACTGATGAAAAAAAAAGCATGAAAACAAAACAAAGAAAAAAAAAAAAAAAA